TAAATTAATATAATTAATAAATAAATATAAAAAATATAAAATAATATTTAATATACTTTATATTATTAAATTAATATAATTTAATATAATAATATAATTTAAATTATATTATTATAATCTAATATAATTATTAATGTAATAATGTATTAAATTATATTATTATAAATTAATATAATTAATAATATAATAAAACAGTAAAATATATATATATATGTATATATACATTGCATGTATATAAAAAACGTATGTACTGTTTTTGTGCTCCGAATAAACTTTTACACGGATATATATATATATATATATATATATATATATATATATATATATATATCGATATGGTGTAATGTGTACACGAAATTTATTTCATTTTTGTTTTATATTTTTTTTTTACGATTTATCTTGGAAATGTTCAACGTCAATTAATATTATTATTATTATTATTATTATTATTATTTTTAAATATACAGGGAAAAATTGAAGAGAATAAAAATTGATTAATTCGTACCCATCAGATACAATGACACCCCAGACGATATAAATTTTTTTTTTTTTTTTTAAATAGGAATCTCTCGCGGTACATAGGGGAATGACTAATTAAATTTTTACGAGCTCATAAAAAAGTATGATGATACTGGATATGATGTTTATGCCAAAGCATTCTGATAAAATAAAAATAGATTCCATTATAATTTTTTACGTAATTGGTTATTTTTAATTGTCGATAAACATATTCGTAGAAACGAGATAATGATTTCAGTAGAACTCAAGTGACACTTATGTCTTCTTCAAGTTTATATAAATTTACATGAATAATATTTATTTTTTTCTTTTTTCTTTATTTTTCTCACATAAGATAAAAAATTACTATTTTTTTTTTCATTTTTTTTTTTTTTATTCATTGTCTTTATTTAATCTTTCTCACGGGACATAATAAAAACTTTAAAAAAAGAAAAAGAAAAAAAGAAAATACTGGGTCCTGCAAATGAACTAGGTATAAAAAATAAATTAAAACTCGACGAGATATCCTCTCTCTCTCTCTCTCTCTCTCTCTCTCTCTTTCTCTCTTACTCGTCAACTTTGTCCCATTGAATATTTAAATAACATTAAACACCTTTTTTTTCCATTTTCTTCTTTACAACCGTCAGTAAAAATTTCATCAGATTTATATTTGTTATTTAATAAATAGGGTCAACAACAAAAAAAACAAATTAAAAAATCCTATAGTAAATTTGGGTCAAAAAGGTACAATTATTATACTTGTTCAGTTTCTGATATTTTAAGCCTTTGGGTAGACATTTATTTGAATATTACTTGGAAAAAATTATCATAATTTAAATTGTATAATATTTAAATATATATTTAATTTAATTATTAATAATTAAATTAATATTTAATTGTGATAATTAATTAATATTTTTTAATATAATTAAATGTAAATTTTTATTTATTTAAATTTTTTATAATTTAATTTAAAATTTAAATATTAATTTATAAAAAATAATATTTATATTAAATTAAAAAATTAAAAATAATAAATTAATTAAATTAATTTATAATTAAAATATAATATTTAAATTATTTTAATATAATATAAATTTTTATTTAAATTAATATTTAAATATACTATTAAATATTAATATTTTTATATATATATAAATCAATTTATATTTAATTTTTTATATCTGTTATAAATTAATATAACACACATTTAAATATATATTAAATATTATAATAATTAATTATAATAATAAAAAAATTATTAAAATTCCTCTAAAATAAACCAAAAAAATGAATTTAGTTAAATCTCGTCTCAGTTTCAGTGACGTATCAGAACATCATGTTCATCTTTACCCAAACAAATTCATGACATAGTGATACGTCCAATGTAGTCAAAGAGTTAAACGAGAATCGATCAATAAAAACCAATAATAAATGACTATATAATTTCAATATAAAAAAAAAATGATAGACAAGTTTCTAATTTCCTTTTCAATCAGGTAGTTACTCAAGCTAACATCCATTTCACGTTCGATTTCAAACGCCGGAATAGAATTCTCAATCGACCGTTAGGGTTTACATCTCGAACGCTTGATTTTCTCGCGTTGGGATTTTTCTAACGAGCACGAATCACGAACAACGGGGGCCTGAGAGAAGGGGAAAGGGAAGGAAGCCAAGAGTATGGGGTGCACACCACCAAGTGAAGTAGTAGTATAGTATACACCATCGAAAGCATCGATGGTTTGCGTTCCACCACGGTGAATGTTCGAGGAAACTTCGAAAACGGCAGTTTCGATCGAACGAAATCACGACCGAACCAACGAACGAACGATTAAACGTTCCCATATGGAATTTCAATCGGCTGGAACACGAGGATCGGACAAAACAATCGTTCCTTGTGATATATATATATGTATGTGTGTATATATGAGAAAGAGGAACGCAGTGAGTAGTCCCGGCCAAATTATCCAAACAGAGAGCGCGCGGCTCACCCTTTGGGGATCGATACCGTGCGCGCGCGCGCACACATACATACATACATACATACACACATTGCTATTTAACCATCCAACTTACTCTATCTATCTCTCTGTCTTTGTCTCTCTACTACCAGCATGTATTTTATGTTTTCAGATAATTCCGAAACGACGAGTAACCCGGTGGACTCATGGGTATGCTTCGATGCTTGTTTCGAGTATCGGCCGAACAATAGTTTTGTCATTCTCCGAAGGTATCCCAATCGTAACGAATCTTTTAACGTTAGTTCGATGATACCAGAAATAACCAAGAACGATAATGAAATTTTATGCGAATTTATCAACGATAACGTTGAATTTAATAACTCAAATGATACCGATGATAATGATGATGAAACTTGTCGAAGTATTTTAACACCTTTGAGTTTTTGGGGTGCAAACATTGTTGTATTCGCTAACGTGATCTACATTCTACCGTATCTTATCGTTGTCTTGATTTATTCTACTGTATCGGGACTACGTAAACGAGCTTACGACAGGGCCGTACTCTGTTACAACATTTTGCAAATCGTCTTAAACTTAATACTGATCGCCATAGGGTTGTCTTTACTATGTCGTGTCAGCCTGTATTTCTCGGTTTATACTGTATCCTGCTTGGCCCTGATGTTTCTATCGATATCTTCAACAGTCTGGCTCTTCGTCATTTGCATCGACATGACCCTGGTCATCACCAGATTCCGCTGGAAGCCATCATCCGATCCCAAACAGTATAGGACTCAAGAAAGACGAAAGTTCTTGATATTCTCCGCTTGGGTTTGGGGAATATCCTTCGTACCAACAGCTATTGCTACTATCGTTGAACTATCACCGTTAGTACCAAATAATTCACCATTCAAACCAAATTTTCATCATTTTTCTAATGGTCCTAATATTGCTGTTATTGTCTATGTTGCTACTATACCATTTATCATTTGTTTAATGAACAGCATGCTATTTGTTTATACCACTTATAAAATAATCAAAATAAGAAAGTCAACTGCCATTGCTAGCAAGAATACGACTAAAGCAAAAGAATCTTATTTTATGTTTCTCAAACTTTACTTTCTGATGGATGCACCATGGATTACCAGTGCTCTTGGTGCCATTTACACCGAATTATGGTTGTTTAAATTTTTTAGAATGATTCAACCGATCTTAATGCTGATCGTTATCTTACCAAAAAATTCTTTGAAGAATAGTTGTTGTAGGTGTCCTTTTTGTAAATCCAAATCTATTAATGTTGATGAGGAGAATGGGGAAGTTGAAAAGTGTTGTTCATCTTGTTTTGTAAAATAATCTACAATGTGTGTGTGTGTGTGTTTTTTTTTATAATAATCGGGAAATTAACACTATGCCGTGCGGACGTCTAATCTACATTTTTTAAATTAATTAATTATTATTTAATTAATAACCACCGACGTGTGGCCATTAAGGTGTTAACTTTCGTTTATGGAGGGTAGAAATAAGGAGTAACATTTCTTATGGAAAGAGAATGTGAAAAAGTGTCCAACGTTTTCTATAAATAATAGTTGAAAAACCTTCCTGAATGGCGCTGGTGTAGACAGAAGGTATGGCATGAATGTAGCAATTGTAAACGAATTGAAATATGCCGATTTAATTTTATGAAAAAGTATGCGAATAACAAAACAGTTATGGGTAAAATTTGTGTTGTGAGATTTGTGTTGTGAGATTTGTGTTCCTTGTTTCAATGATTGTTCCTTGTTCTCAATCCTACTCTAATAATATTTGACACTTCCTTTAAAATGTATCCTCTAGCTACTGTGGCGCCACCCCAATTGAATGCATTTAGGCGGACATTTTTTATATACAGAGATGTTACTCCTTACTTTTACCCTCCATACTTTCGTTTTACAGTTGTGAATACTACAATAGAACCATCGGCACCAACGTAGAACCACCGGCACTGACCCAATAGTTTTCTAACGTGAAACCACCAAACGTCATAGTTTTAATAATAACACCGTTGATTTGTATTCGTCTTTAAACGTTATTACTAAAAATCATTTGTTTCGATAATTAAAAAAAACACACACACACAAAAAACACAATCTGCTTTTTAATATCGTCAATTTGATGAAAAACACAATGATGACTTTTTCGATTAGGTAATAATTATCCCAATAACACGCAACAACGAATTTTGCTTGGATCGTTTATTAACACGATTAACACGGACGAACGATGATGATTCATTTCGTTACGAATCCTTGTTTACTAAAGATAACAAAACGCAATTAAATTGATTAAACCGGTGAATAATATCATTGCAAATTATTTGTCGGACAATATGCTACATTAATTACATAAAGATGAATTATAAGTTAGACCAGTTATACAATTTGTTCAATATTTATTATAAAAGACTGACATTTAGGTACTAATCCGATCCAATTCGTGAATATAATTTGATCATCATTAATAGTGGAATGATACAAATGTAATTTCTCTATAATATATATATATATATATAACATATATGAATAAATAAATGTCTACGAAAGATCGATTAGTAGAATAAAATGTAATACACATACCTACATATGATTAAAAACGATTCAATTTTCCGCATAGATTGTAACAACGAAGACGAATAAATTTATCGAAGATATACATCTATACATATAAACACATACATACACATAAAGGATTTTTTATTTCTTTACACGACTTTTCCAATCATTTATCACGTACATGACTTTAAGCAAAAAGTATCGTCGTCAAATTGAAATGAAACTAAACGTGTATCGTACTCACCAATGATGAATGATCGTGTTTATTAATTCGATAAATGATACACGATGATTAAGATAAGATTAAGATAATTATAAAGAATCGTTCATTTATAGTGATGAAACGCAACGTGTACCTTCAACGTGTTACACGGACGAGTGCGTTGAAACACGAGGGAAGGGTCTTGACTATTAAACGTTCGCGGTCAGTGCGGTCGTTGCAGTTACCATAGAAGAGAAGTGCAACCGACTTACTACTACTCTCCAACGACTCCTTAAACGCCACTTTGAGTCTCGCTAGTTTCTAAAATTATGCTAAACCTTAAGAGCTACGACACAAAGACTAGACACTGCTTTTAATCTCTAATTCAATTTTCTTTACTTTAAGTTTTATATTTTAATTTTTTTCATACAAAAAATATATTACATATAAAGAAAACTATGTTGATTTTAGAATGTTTTTGAAGTGAAAACGACTTTAGAAAGAGAGTGATCTGAAAAGTAAATAAACGGAAACGGAGCTATGTAACGAAGCTATGAAACGGTTGCCATACTAAATAATGAGAGAAAAAGAGACAAACATAGGATTTAGACTGCGAGAGAATTAGACGGAATATAGCTATACAGTTTTTCCTATTCTCGGTCTGCTCTTTATGATATGCTTCGTAGTGATCGCTCCTGGTTGTATATGTGTGTCTTTGAGTGCGACTGCATACTACAAAGCATAAACACACATATTCTTTCGATACTCAAAATGTTTGTAGGTAGGAGCGATAGAAAGGTAAAAGAATAAACAGAGTAAGGCACGTAGGTATGCGACAAAAGAATCAGATCCAAACCAATCGACGGTCGACATAAAAAAAGAAGGTGCGTGGTATGTTTATTTTCTACCAAACGTGTCATTTCTTTTCTATTTTTCTTTATTATTTCTATTTTTTCTAAAGACCCTACGGACTTATCGGAAAGACCCTACGGACTTATCGGAA